CGCTTATGACTATTTCAGCATCCCCCATGGCCATGTGATTTTCATTCGGATGATTGACAACTGGCTCACATTCATGACGGTCGCAGCGTCCCAGGGCGAGGTGGGTCACCTTTTGGGACCTTCTGACAAGCAAAGTCAATGGGGACGCCAGATTCACTTAACAAGTGAAGTGGCAAGAAAGGTCGCAAAACGGGGCAAGACTCATTTAACTGTTTCGGTTAAATGGAAAGTTCAATTTTGGTCGCAAGTCGAGGAGAACACCTTATTTAGAATTTTTATGTATTAACCTAGAACAGTGTTTCTCAACCTTGGTGACTTTAAGTCCTGTGGACTTCAACTCCCAGAATCCCCCAGCCAGCGCAGTTGCGCTGGCTGGGGGATTCTGGGAGTTGAAGTCCACAGGACTTAAAGTCACCAAGGTTGAGAAACACTGTCCTAGAGCCCCCCCAAACCACCAGAGATGATCCTCTGGGCATCTCAGACCCCCCGGAAGCCCAGCAGGCACAGCCGGGCGTGCCAAGCCTCCCTCTGGCTCTGATCCTCTTTGCTTTGCCAGCAAGGAGGCCTCTGTGAATCGAAGGGGATCAGCTGAGGACACAAATAAAGCCACTTCGTGCGACTGACCTGCCGGTTCCTTTCATCCGTAATCCTCTGGATCTGGATCTTTTTCCTCCCCATCTTCTCACGAGATGAGGCGACTCAATTTTTATTTTCAAAAAAGGTTAAAAAGGAAAAAAAAAAAAAGCAAAATGTTATCATTAAAAAAAAAAGAGAGCTTTCCTTTAAAAAAAAAAGGGAAAATTGAGAAGGCAAAAACCGGAGGGTGAATTTCTTCAGTCCATGATATTCCACTGGCTATAAATCCAGGCGGGGAGTCATACGAGAAGGGAGCAGCAGGAGCCCTGCAGGGAAACAGAAGGGAGGAGAAGAAGGGGTTAACGTCGAGGCTTTTGGCTGCCTGTGGGCTCACCTCTAGGGCCAAACTCTCAGGGGCTGCAGAGGCTGCCTCTCTCCCCCCCCCACCTTCCTCTAAGATCAGCTGGGGATCCTGGCACATACCCCCACACAGACACCAGGGGAAACACCACGGGCCCAGTTCACCCCCTTTCCCCCTGACAATCTTGCAGCAGGTCCCTGATAAAATCCCCCCCCCCTTAAAACACCCCAGGAAGTGGAAAGTTGGGTGTTGGGGGACACCCAACCTCTTCCAACTGCTACTTCTCATTCTCCCCAGAAACACCAGAATTCTGGTGTTCCTGCCTCCCCTCCGGGTGCATCTTCTGCCTCCCAAGTCCAGGAAGGGCCGCCCCTCCGCCATGAGCTGACCGGCTCCAAGACAAGCTCCCAACGCCCAACCTTTTCAGAAAGCAAGGGGGGGGTCTCTCCCCTCCCCCAAACAATGGGGAGGAGCAGGGGAGGAGAATCTGTGGGTCCCCTGCCTGGAAAAAGCCCCACAGCTCCCCACTTGGCCAAGTCCCTCCCCCCTCGTCAGGCGTGGTTTCCTCCGTTCTTGGGGTTTTCTCTCCGGCCACCTGAACCCCCCCCCCCCCCCCCTTCTTTTGAGCTTGGCCAAGGTCAGCCCAGGGCAACAAAGACATTCAGACGCGTGCAAAAGTTAAAAAATTGGATAACTAGAAGTGGATCCGTTTCCAAACAGAGGCTGCCTGATAATCTATTGGAGAGGATGTCGTGAAGGGGTTTAGACTGGATGGCTTCTTGAGCCCTTCGATCAATCATTCAATCAATAACATTTGTTTGGTCAACGAACAGCACAATGTTAAAAAACCAGAAGGAATCATTAAAGTCATTAGCACAACGTGAGAGTAACAGTGAAGACAAGAAAGAACAGAATTTGTGCGCAGGGTTGGACTTGATGAGCTCTCCGGTCCCTTCGGACTCTCTATGATTCCCGAGAGGACAGAGAGGCCTCTGATGCCGGGGAAGGTCGGAGGCTCCACCACCGTCCCTTTCTGCCCCCCAGGAAGGAGGAGAGAGAAGTGGAAGAAAAGTTTCCATTCACAACACTTACACCCCAGAACACCACAACAGGAAGTGCGAACTGCGCGCACCTGGCCCGTGCAGGCACAAAAGAGCCACAACCAACAATCAATTCGTGGTTTGTGATTCTTTCAAAACATGCATTTCCCACATGGGCGCTTGGCCTTCTGAAAGAACCAGAGGCCCCCAGAGACCAAATCCCCCACTGCCCCCAAGCCCACTGGGGTGGGGCTGCCCAATAGACCTTCGCCTCTTGGGCTGGGCTCCGCTTGAACCCCCAAACCCCAGAGGATTCCACAAGGACCCTCACCCCAAATGCACCTGGACACTTGATCATCTCCCACCCCCCCCCACTAAAAAGCCAACGCAACCAGCCCTCCATTCTTTCCCTCCAGGCGCTTTCTGGTCCAGGATCTCTGGTGGCATCCAAGCCATTGTTTACAAGCCAAAGAGACCCCCAGAATCCCCCCCCATCATCTGCCCCATGTCCTGAATCCAGAAGAACCCTCTGCTCTCCACAGGCCAGTGTGGGCCCTCCCGCTGCATCTTGCCCGGCCCATCCGAAGGCCACTGAAGGCATCCTGGGAGGCCAGCGCCACCCACAGAAGTGCCCCGTCCCCAAATAGCTGCTGGAATAAACCCAGCTGGGGAGGCTTCTTTGGGGGCCTGGCTGGGGGCTGCAGTGAGTGTGGAGATACAACCAAGCCCCAGATCACGTACCACGGGAAGAAGCGCCACTCCGTTCAGCAGATGCCACAAGGGGCCTTCCTTCCCAGTTGTCGGGGGCAAGGCTGGCAGTCTGTGGGGCAAGCTCAGCGAGGTAGCTGGAAGGAGTTCTGCCAGGGCGGACCCTTCCCTTGCCTCAAGAGATGCCCACCTGCCTGCTATGACAGGTGTCAGCTTCCAACAGAGCCCCCACCTTAAAAGCCAGCCTGCCAGGAGAGGAGCCCAGAGACTCAGCAGCAGGGAAGTGGACTCTCCATCCCAAGTGGAAGAAGGCCTCTTGGGGGCACGGCGTGTGTGTGTGTGTGTGTGTGTGGTTGTGTGTGTCACTGCAACTGTGGGTCTCTTCTGCATTGGCGCCTGGAGAAAGCAGAGCCTCACCCAGCAGCCAAAGTCTTTAAAGAGAGATTCCTGTTTACAGCCCAGGACCCTGAGAACAGCTGCCAGCTGCACCCGCTCCCACAGCACCCAACCCACACAGAAAGGGGCACTTGGGGAGCCAGCAAGAGCTTCAACAACACTCTGCTGGCAACCCCAAGAAGCAGCTGAGCCCAGGCAAGATCCGCACGTGCCTCAGTAAGATCCCTCCCCCCCCAGCTGACCGTCTGGGCAAAGACGAGCCCTGCTTCTGCACCCGGAGCCCATCCGCCCAAGGAAGGATGGCATCAGCGTCTCTGCAACCCTGCCTTTGGCCACAGCTGTGGGCTCCAGCACGATGTGGCAGTCAGTGCAGAGTGACGTAGCCCTGGAGGACCTTGGCAGCCCACATGCAGAGTCACACCGATCAAAATCTGTCCCCCTATCCCAAAACCAGAATTCCACCCCCCTGCAGCTTCCCCAACAGATGACCCCCCCCCTCACCCCTGACGGCCTAATGGATCTTTTCTTGATGTCCAGCCAGAATCTGCTTCTTTAAGCTTCAACCCACCGTCCTTCTCTTCTCTTCTGGAACAACTCTGGACAGATCTGCCCTGTGGCCTACATGGCCGTCCTGGAAATGTCTGAAGACGGCCGAGTTGTCCTGGCAGGCTCTTCCTGTCTTCAGGCTAACACCCCCCCCCCACAGGGTCTCCATCCATTCCTTGTGCTCGGGTCCTGATTGGCTGCCTCCTCCAGACGGGCACCAGGATGCCCACATCTTTCCTCAAATGTGCTGCCCTAAACCGGACCCTCCGGTCGAGTGCTGGGCTGACCAGTGCAGACCAAGAGGGACCATGGCTCGCCTGGGGCCTGACTTTCGTGGCTGAGGCAGCCAAGGATTGCTGTGGCATGGTGCGGCTCCCATGCTCCATTTCCCTACATTAGGGGTGCTCAAAGGTTATGAACAAGCCTTGGGGATTGTAGAGATATTTTGGTTACTTTAATATAATTTAGACGTGCTTGGTAAGCAAATACATAAATATCGTAACTTTTTAACGCTTTGCTTCCCCTGAGTCTTCCTCTCTTCTGACCTCCTCTTCCTCTTTGACCAGCACCCCCAGTCTGGGAGAGGTCCGGCTGTGGTCGAGCTACTTTCCGTCATAAGCAGAATCTGCTGGCTTAAGATGCAAAGGGGGGGGGGGGCTTCCTCCACTTGCTTGCACAGCCGCAGCCCAGGAAGGAAGGAAGGAAGGAAGGAAGGAAGGAAGGAAGGA